GCCGGGCTGGCGCGAGGTCGCTTGGGGGTGTTGGCTGTGGAGCGGAGTGGGCTGCGCCCGAGACGGCCTGCAGGCGTCTGCATTACACAAAACCGCCGCCACGTCTGTGCGTATATACGTGTAACTCGTCACACGTCTCAGAAATCGGGACGTTTCGAGGTTAAAAATGTGGCTTCGAGAACCCTGCCCTCGGAGGAGGGGCCTGAAGTCGGGCGCTGCCCTAGTCCCACCCCTGGCTCGTCCCGCGACGTCCCAGGCCCGGGGCCCGGGCTCCTCCTCTCTGGAGTCTGCCCAGTTCCCAGGTCCCGCTTCGCGCTTGCCTCCCGGGACCGGAGTTGGAGTAGCCACGTTGGCAAGGGGATTCTGCGTGTTCCTCGAAGAGCGGGGCCGGGCGGGGCAAGAGCGTTAGAGTTTCCGCGTTCGGATTTCGTGAACATAACTACTGACCTAATTGAGGCTGGGCGAGCAAGTTTTAACTGAACTGGGTTTTCGTTACAATCCCGAAGTTGCGCTGTTCGAATTAGGCCCTGCCAAAACCTGAGGAGAGCAAAGAAATGTGAAGGGAGAGTTTGGGTGGGGGTGGAAGTAGAAGTGAGATTTCAAAAACCTTATCTTGTGCCGGTATAGAGAACGCTGTACTATTTTCACTCTAATTATGTTAACCTACGTCTCTTCTTTAAAAGTTTAAGCAAAAGAAATATAAAACTCTGTCTCTTGTCCACCCCCCCCAGCCAGAATATACTTTAGATGATAATAAATGCATTCCATGAATCTTCCCCATCTCCCACAACCACCAATAGCCTTTCCGTTCTGAACCCCAAGCTTTTATACCTTTATAGAAATTCACAAAAAGTAAATAACTCTTGATAGTCTTACTGCAGTTGTTGAAATTAAATATTCCATGCCATGTGGACTGAGTTAACTTGGGAGAATTCAGTCTTTTCTCAAAGAAAGGGGGTGAATTTGCATATACGTACACACATGTTATGAGTTGAATATCTAGTGAAAAGAGTGATACTTTGTCTTTTTATTGGTCACTTCCTAATTTAAAACCATTCACAACTTTGCCCAAGTTCGTTTGCTGGCGTGTGATTCTTGAGGCTCCTGAACCATGAAATTGTTTGCACCCTTATTTTCTCCTATATCAGAGTAAAACTGCATCTACTGTTTAACCTCTGTTATCCACTTTGAGACTACTTAAATCAGATTAGTTCAATTACGAAATCATTTCCTTTGGTTAGAAAGGCACACACGCTCTCACCCTGCCCCAACTGGTGTTAGATCTGTTTCTCACTATGAATTAAGATATTGATATTGGCTCTGTGTGTGTGTGTAAGTCTCCATGAACTTGACTAATGTAAGTCTTAACCAACAAATTAAATTTGTGGGTTAGTAAAGCAGTGTTAGTCCGTTTAGGCTTCAATACTATAGACTAGGTGGCTTATAAAGAACAAATTTATTTCTCACCGTTCAGGAGCCTGGGAAGTTAAAGATCAAGGCACCAGCAGATTTGGTATCTAGTGAGTACCTACTTCCTGGTTCATAAACAAATATGGTCTTGCTGTGTTCTCACATGGTGGAAGGGTAGAGGGAGCTCTTTGTTATATCTTTTATAAAGGCACTAATCTCATTCATGAAGCCTCTGCCTTCATGACCTAATCACCTACCCCCACTTCCTAATACCATCACATTGCGGGTTAGGATTTCGACATATGAATTTCGCGATGGGGTGGGGTGGGAGTGTACAGACACAAACATTTGGTTTATAACAAAGGCTGAGGTCGAAGCTCTGGACTGTAGTGAATTTTTCAAGGAGACATATTTGTATATATTCTACCATTCCAACTACAGCATGGATATTTTTATTTTAAACTTTAAAGTGTGTGAGAATTTAGGAAACAGAGAAAAAGACTCAATCTCCCATAATCCAGCTCAAGCCATAATAGGGCATCAGTATGTTTTAGTACAGTGATAATTTTAGTGTATTCGGTACATTTGTAAATTTGTACACATTTTGTAAGATGTACATTTATACACCTTAATGTAATGTTTAAATTCTCATTTTAACATATTCATAACATTGAAAGTATACTTGTGCGTATTGAAAGTTTATTAATATCTTTAGAACTTCATTCCATTCACATAACTTGACTGAAAGTAACATTTGAAGGAGTAGAGTGCTGAGTAGATGACAAGATTTGATAGTGACAGAGTTACCTGATAAATTTTCTTTCCACTGGCATCAAGAATGTTGGAAATGGACATTTTAATTGATTAATTTAAAAAGCATTTGCTGAGTACTTACTAAACATCAAGAATTGTACTAGATGTTAGAGAGAGACATTAAAAAAGACATAATCCCCTTCCCACAGTGAGATAGTAGTTAGGTCTCCAAACAAGTAATTATAGTATATTGGAATAAACACTATAATTGAAGGTTGTGTGAGATGCAATGGAAGTAAGAAATAGAAACATTTGACTTTGTCAGGTGAGAAATGCTTCATTAAATTTGTGGCATTTGAGATGAATCTCGAAGAATAAGTTGAAATTTGCGAAGACAGGCAGTAATGGGACATTCCAGATAGAAATGACATTATGTGTAAATTTGTGGTATTGAAATATAATTGAAGGACTTATTTTTTCTGAGAGTAGGGTGCATTATGACAGAATAGTAAGATAAAGAAGGGGCTAGAATATAAAAGGTTTTTATGGGTCTCATTTAGGATTTTTCTGTAGTTTATTCTAATAACCAAAGGGAAGCTATTGAATTTTAAGCAGCAGAGTTATGGGACCAGATTTGTGTTTTCTAGAAAATGCACATGCTAATAGCATACAGCAGTGCAAGTTTAGTTAGGAGGCTAATACGAGTAGATGAGGTAGGAGATGAGAAGGTCTTGAAAACCTCAGTGAAGTGAGATTCAAGAGGAAAAATGAGGTTGGAGAGATGATAAAGTGATAGAATCAATAGAATTAAGTGTGGTAGATTGTTTCAGATATGCACCCGCCCACCTTCTTGAGCCAGTTTTTTACACGTACTTGTATCCATACACTTGGTAATCCCCTTCCACACTGACTAACTCATGTGACTGGCCATCGGGATAAAAGCAATTGTAATTTAACAGAGGCTTGAAAAATGTTTGCACACCGGAACTTGCCCTCTTATTGCTGGCAACCCATCTGCTACCATATAATCAAATCAGGGCTGGCCTCCTAGAAGACAAGGAGCTACTTAGAGAGAGGCCCCAGGTGTCCCAACCTTCCAATTGAGGCCCCAGACATGTGAGAAGCCATCCTAGATCATCTATTTCCAACTGAGATGGTTCAGACTAGAAGAATCAGCCAGTTAACCCACAGATTCATAAGAAATAGTATTTTGTTTAAAGCCTCCAGATTTGGAGCAGTTTGTTTCATAACAAAAGTTAATTGATAACCCTAAGTGACCAAGTAGACGTGGAGTTGGTAAGAAGAAGTCTAAGATGAATCTCCATTTTGTAGCTTGGGTGGATAGATAAATCAATATTGGAAAGCTATAAATATTACAACAAGTGGTATTACTGAAGACAATAGGGAATATATTTTTTAAAACCAGGTTTTTAGGGATAATGATAAACTTTGGAACTACTGATTCTTAGGAATTCTTAGCCCATATAGATGAAGATATCCAGTTAGCAGTTTAATATAAAGATTTGGAGATAGAAAATTTGGAGTAAAAGCCTTGGCTTTGGTTGACATTGCCCATTTCTCATTTATGAATTTTTGGAGCTTTTTTTAGATTTGGTATTTTATACTTAGATAATGTTGTCTCTGAATAGAGAGAGTCTCTTCCTTTCCAATCTGTATGCTTTTTCTTTCTTTATTGTATCAGATAGAAGTGCTAGTAACATATTGAATAAGAATGATGAGAGTAGACATCCTTGCTTGTAGGGACAAAACATTCTTTCACTATTAAATGTTAGTTATAGCTTTTCTTTTGTAGATGTCATTTTTCATGTTAGGTAAGTTCCTAGTTATACTAAGAGTTTTTTTTTTCCTGCCTTTATTGAGAAATCATATGTTTTTTCTTTAGTTTGTTAATATGGTGAATTATGTCAGTTAATTTTTAAATGTTGAATAAACATTTCCAAGATAAACCCCACTGGGTTGTAATGTATTGTCCTTTTTATATGTTACATTAGATTTACTAATATTGTGTGGCAGATTTGTCCATCTGTATTTATGAGAGATAGTACACTTTTTAAAGATGTCTTTATCTGGCTTTGGTAACAGGGTCATGCTAGCCTGACTCAGATATGTTTCCTCCTTTTGTTTTCAGAAAAGACTGTATAGAACTAGTATTATTTCTTACTCTATGATTTGGTAGAATTTGCCAGTGAAGCCATCTGGCCTAGAATTTTCTTTATGGAAAGGTTTTAAACTACAAATTTAATTTCTTTAATAGATTATTCAGATTATATATTTCTTCTTGAGTGCGCTTTGGTAGTCTGTGTCCATGAAGGAATTGGTATAAAGTTGTTAGTAATACACACTTTTTTTCTTTTAAATATCTATAGTATCTGTGATGTTACCTTTTTCAGTCTTGGTTTTGGTAATTTTTGTCTTCTTTTTTTTCCCCCTTGGTCATTATGGCTAGCAGTTTATAGATTTTATTGATGTTTTCAATAAAATCTGGTTTTACTTACTTTGCTTTTATTTCTTTTTCTCTGTTTTTCTGTTTTCAATTTTATTGATTTTTGCTCTTTATTATTTCTTTTCTTCTGTTTGCTTTGGATTTAATTTACTCTTTATCTGGTTTCTGCAGGTGGAAGTTTAGATCATTGATTTGAGTTCTTTGTATTCTTCTAATATAAGCATATAATTTTATACATTTTCCTCTAAGCACTGATTTGGTTGACTCTCAACAATTTTCATCTGTTGTGTTTTTATT